TAATATAATATAATATAATATAATATAATATAATAATGTACACACACAGATATATATATATATAATTTGTCGCCTAATCGTCGCCTAGGCGCTCGCCTAGGCGTCATGGCGATACATTGGCGCCACGCCTCGCCTTGGCGCCGTGATAACTATGGTTTGGAGAGAGAGAATGAAGAGATATACTTCTCTTTCCACTCCCATACATGTTTGATAAATTCATCTCTGTTCATTTCTGTCCTCTTTGTTCCTTCAGTGGCCAGCATTCTTTCCACGACTAACTATGAACAAATAGATAAATGCACAATGTTAGCAATCAGTCACGATGTCAATTGCTCTCCACTATATGGAGATATAAGTGGGTAACTATAGCATTAAGTTCTAGAAAACCTGAGTCGCGATACCAGCATGGTCAATCCCAGGAAGCCAAAGTGTGGACCGTCCTTTCATTCGGTTGTATCGTACCATAATATCCTAACCGAATAATAATCAAATAAATATAAAAGTTAAACATCATAAATCCTAAGATAATGAATAAGCTTAAATACTTAAGTGTTCCTAAAACAGATCAAAATGTTTTCCGAAAGGCAACTTAGGAAAAGGAATCTTCAAAGGTGAGAGTATACTAAACTTTTCTGGCACAAACATGATCTGTGATTGCAGATTAAGTTACAAAATTAATCTTGTAAAGGAACATTACTTTGAAAAATATCAACTCATCGATGTTGCATTATATTTTCATAAGGTGAGAAAAATGTGAGATTCTGACATTGGCAAAAGTCATCACATTATTCCTCCCCAAGAAGGTTGGAGCTTGAAAGGCATCTGACGCAAAACCTTGCCACAATTCTATTTTGCATGATAAAGATTTAACTAAAGTAAATGACACCATAATTCTGTTTCAAACTGTCACCTGCCCCAACTAGTAATGATTAAGGTGTTGATAATAATTTATCATTCCTAGGCCCTAGCAGTATAAGAGTCATAGAGATATCAGTATTTCTGGTTTCCTTATCATATGCCCCTTAATATAGAACGCCCCTATTGTTTAAATATAGAACGCCCCTTATCATAAACACCGTACAGACCATATTAGCATTGTTGAAATCAATGAAAGATTAGTTTCAAGGATTTTTTGTTACTTTACTCACCTTCCTTAAATATGATGTATTTTGGAAAAAAGGACAGCAAAATCCAGATGGATGGAGTAATTACTAACCCAGCATGTAGGCATATAGGATACATCTTAGTACTAACAACATATCCAAGAGATATGATAAGAGTGCAATAATCAATAGAAAGTGCATACAGTGACACATAAAAAGAAAACAAAAAAAGATGTTAATAATATTGTGTTGAATAAAAATCAAACAAGCATAGATGCATCAGCTGAGATATATAACGCATAATGGGTATGTTTTGTTTTCAGGAATCATATAACTCTAACCTCGAGAGTAACAAACATTGCATGTCCCATGTGCAATGAGCCAGTAACATTCGGTGGTGGCATTGAAATCACAAAAGGATCATTCCCTCTGTCAAAGCTTGGTTTAAAATACCCTTGAGATTCCCACCTATTATTTTTCAAAAATTTTGGTGTCCATGTGTGACAAATATAAATGTTCATATACATGCATCCGTGTGTGTTTTAAAAAAAGAGATCATATGATAACAGGTGAAGTACTGTGGCGCCACTGACGCTTAAACAAACCTACATCCATGGCCTTTAGGTTTAACAGAGGCGACCATGTCATTACTCATTACTCTCTGTAAAGAGTGAATTACTCATGCCCTGAGGTTTGATGAACCTATTTTCATGTCCCTGAAGAATGAGAAAACCTACTTCATTTGCCTAGTGTTCATCGTTCAACATAACCTGGAATGTGTTTGTCATTCATCTTTTAAAAAATGTTTGTACACACACACACACACACACACACACACACACATACATACATACATGTGTGTGCGCGCGCGTGTGCACAAGCACGCACTTCAATATACTCCGTATTAAATTATGTTTTTTAAAAGTCACAATTTCCTAAGTTTCAAGCTTAATCCAACCACCCTAATCTTGAAAATCCATCGAAATATTCTAAAATATTACTGTATTTTCAAGCATTTGTGGGTGATTTCAAGTGGAAATAAATTACTCTAAGTAATTAAAAATTAGAAAAGATCATTGCCTAGAAACCCTTCATCAAAAAATGAGATGTGAGGCACAAAATTGCTTTGATTATAAGTGTCAATTTTACTAAACTAGCTTCAGGAAACATCAACAAAGCTTCAAACACACACACACACACACACACCAATCACCACAAGAGTAAAGAGCATAAATGTAATTGAAGAAAAATGTCACACAATTAGAAAATTAAAGAAATAACAATAAAAATATAGAACAATTGTCTCAAAAGACCCCAAGAGCCCCGATGGAAACTCTTCGGCAATTTCAAGGAAAATGTGAAGATAAATTAGGGGTGAGGGGGTACTTCAAGTGTACGCTTTGGTCACTTTGGCAATTTCAATTCTTGTCTGGCTACTAAAGCAAACCACGTGCTGTATTCCTTATTTGGAAAGATGAAAACAGAAAAAGAAAATGTGAGGATAAATTAGAACTGAGGTGGTTCTTCATTTGTATTCTTCGGTCACTTTTTGTTACTCTTACCAATTTATATAAAACAGGAAGCACTGAGCAAATGTTCATGGGTTTCATGGAAGCTTTTTGAATGAGATGAAATGACAAACAATGCTCTCGAATGTAGGTTAGTCACTAACGCCTAACATCTCTTGATTTACCACAAATAAGGCTTGTCCCAAAGATTCATAAACAATCAACTGAAGACAATCTAAATGTTGTTTAAAAACAGTGAAAATTGCAAAAAATAAATGCCAGTATGTATATGTACCCAACAAGGATTAGCTTTTCTAGTTTCTAAAAATACATTTTCTAAATATTCATTCATACAAAAAAGGAAACAGAAGATTAATATCATTCTACTGAGATCCAAAAAAGAAAAAACAAACATGGTTCAATAAATCAGCCGTACCATTTATAGATGCGCTCCTCATTACTAAAATCAAATGACTTCGCAATTTCTGGCGAAGTAAAGACATCAAGTTTTGTTGCAGAAGCTGTAGTGAATCAGATATGAGTTCGATATCAAGTTACCTATTCCAAAGCACACTGTGTTCGATTTATTTCCCAAAAGAACATACATGAGATATACCGAAAACAAACATGGCCTACTCAAAGTGTGTTCGTTCTAGTGAGGAAAAATACTTTTGACAACGTAAATTGATAATATTAGCCGGATTCCAGGAATAAAACGGAAAAAAGGCAAAAAAAGAACACCCAGGGCACTCACTGACAAACAATCTGTAAGGTCTAATACGGTTGCCGGAAAGTGATGCGGAAACGCGACGCTGTCTGGAGCAGAGAAGAGGATTAAACCCACGGCGGAAGCGTGAGCAAGAAGAGGGTGATATCGATAATACGGCCGCCATGGATGAGTGGTAGATAGCGCACCAAAGCGGCAAACAATTTAGGTTTACCGTTGTGGGTTGACCCATCTGGCGGGTGCGTTGCCTAATTTATATTTAGAGCAAGGCTAGGGTACAAGGTGTATCTCATTTGTACCCCACTCCCTTCTCCACCATTTATTTTTATTTACTTGTTATTTGTTTAATTTTTTAAAAAATTTTTTTCCCTTTTTGTGGTAATGGAGGGGGTGAGGGACAAATGGGGTACACCAAAGGTGTACCCCTAGCATTTTTCTTATATTTATTTGTTTGTTAAATTGATTACGGTTACGGATTATCTAATAAAATAAATTTTTCTTTTCATATATTTTGTTTATAAAACTTTTTATGTGATTTAAAATATTTACTCGTAATTTATTACTTCCTCCGTCCACAAATATACTTTACATTGCGCGTTATGATGTTTGACTGAAGTTATTTTCAAATCATTTTATATGAAAAATGGTGTAGAATTGAAAAATAAAAATTACATATTAAAAAACTATATCAAAAGATCTACAAAACTAGAGGTGACATGATTATATTATTTTATCAGATGTGTGACGAATATAGGCCAACAAAGTGAATAAATTTTGATCCTATGAATAGTGAACGTAAAGCTTATTTGTGGACGGAGGGAGTATATTTAACCCAATTTGTATATAGAATAATTTTTAATTAGATAAACCTTTATATTACCTAGTCATTATAACTTTTCGGATGAATTGAAAATGAATAAATGTAAACATAAAATAAGTCAATATTTATTCATTTTTTATTGTCTCAAAAAATTATAATAGTCACTTAATATGAAACAAAAAAAGTCTTTGTAAACTTAAAAGAATAAAATGATCTCAAATAATTTTAATACTCCCTCCTTCCAGAAAATATTCTTCACGTGTTGACTTGACACGCTTATTAAGGAATCATAAAAAAATACTTCGTACTAAATTTCCAAAAATGCACATACTATAAACTTTAAATATCATTTTCTTATTAAAAAGCAATAAAAAAGTAGATTAGTGATAAAATATAAGGGTATTATTGAAAGTTATCCTTAAAAAGTATATTAAAAAAGGAAATGGGAAGAATATTTCCGGACGAGCCAAAAAGGAAAGTGAGAAGAATATTTCCGGACGGATGGAGTAGTAGAAAGTTAATTGTGTGACACTTTTTGTTATTCTTGATGGTGTAAATTAGGTAGACCAAACTTAGGCTCCATTTCATTCAACTTATTTTTTCTGATATGATCTGATTTTTTGTAGATCTAATCTCATTGGATCTAATTTGTTCAAATATGATAGAATCTGATCAGATCTGATTAGATCTGATCTGGTGTGATATAACCTGATTAATTATGATTTGATTTAAAATTCAAATCAATAATTTGATGTGACTTTATAATAATGTTTGAAAATTGTAATGATAATTCATATTATAATATAATCAATATTTTTATTTTAGGATTATTTTTTAATGAAATAAAATTAGTTAATTCATATATTAAAATAATTATTCATATTATAATGTAATAGTATTTCTTTATTTTATGATTGTTTTTTTATGAAATAAGAATATTGATTTAATATTTTAATAATTAGTTCATATATACATTACAATAAATATTTAATTCATATATACATTAAAAAGTGATTAGATTTAGATAATCAATAAAGAGAAGAGATAGTATTTTTATTAAAATATATCATCCTTATATATAACATATCAACGTGTGTTTTGTACTATGAAACTTTTTTTATGATTAATATAATATCATAGATATTATAGTTACACTAAAATATACTCCATATATGAATATCAAATTTTAATTTTATTTAAGTCATGATCAAAGTTGATCAACTCGATGTAGTAAAATATCAAAATTTTAAAAACTCAAATTACAAATGGCAATACAAATATATTTTAAAAGTATAATTATATTGATATTGTCAATGTATTCTAAAAAATAATAATTCCAATGTCTAATAATTAAATTAAGGATTACTTTTTTAGTTTTATATTAAAATTATTTCTAAAGTTTATTCTTTTTTTAAGAATAATAATAATAATAATAATAATAATAATTCTTCATTGGATCTGATCTGATCAAGTCTGATCTGATTAGATTTGATCTGATTGATTTGATTTGATCTGATCTGATCTGATTGGATATGATCTGATATGATTAGATCTGAACTGCTCTGATTTTAATAAGAAAAAGAAAAAAGCGAAAAAAACAAGTTGAACGGAACGAAGCCTTATTATTCTGGACTTTTTAGGTGTGACCTTTATTGAATGTCTAAGAGCACCACATCCCAAGATTTTCTTCTTGCCATGCCCATACACAGATTTGGCCAACATATATCGACGGGGCAATATCGTCATATCTCTAAGTATCAAGTCATGATTCCCTTTTTCGGTTGATGAATATGCCATGTTTGTCGCAAGGAATGTTTGTTTGGATCAAACTTCATGTGTTGTTTGGAATGTTAAGTACCGACATTATGTGGTGAGAAACATTCTCTTTGATATAATTGGTGTGTCAGGATCTCAGTTAATAAATAAGCACCAGAAGAAATATCTCGAATGACTCATTGGAAGAAAACTCACACTCAGACCCAATGATCATTAATATATAATGACATGAACATCGCTCTTGATTTGATTTGCAATATGATTACCCCCCATAGATTTTGAATGAAGAGCTCACCCAGATTCGAATCTCATCAAGAACATTCCATTGATTCTTTGTGCTTCCGAAGTTATTAGAAAAGAGTTAATCTTTTCGTAATAAGGAAAGATTTCGTTACTAGTCTTGCAAAATCTTAAATTTGATTCTTGCGCGTCTTTATCAATTTTATTTATTTCTGTATTATGTAAGTATTTTCTTTATACTGCTCTTTCCATGTAAAAAGAGTTTGGTATATATATGTGGTGCTATGTATGATTAAAGATACAGTTTTTCCATCTACAAAATTTAATACTCCATCCGTTTTTATAAACACTTCCTACTTTGACTAATGAATGAAATAATGAATATATATATATATATATATAAGTTGATTTTCCAATTTTACTCTTGATGTGATATGTAAAAAGAAAATGTGATAGGTAGATTATTAGTGAAAAGAATGATGTGGTGTCTAGGGTAAAAGTAAATTTTTAATACAAAGTATAAGTATTTTAGGGAAAAGGGAAAAAAATGAAAGAAAAAATGTTTTAAGAAACCAATAGAGTAGAGGTTAAGAAAGTATGTAGTATGAACAAATATTAAATTGTAGTGAAATTAGTATTTCTCAAAAAAGTATAAAAATATGTTGGCGTAGTGACAAGGAAGTCATCCCAATATTCTCCACATCCAGTATTCGAATATAACACACATGTTTAAAAAATTGAGATTAATTTGAACAGATAGAACATCACACTGATAGTATAAGAGTTTGCTAAAAAAATATTAATTTCTACTAAAAAAAGTAGTGACATGATTTTTCATTCATCTAAACAATTTCTAGAAGTGCACTCCCACTTTTTCATTCATACGAAGGGAGTACTTCATTGATTCTAACTTTGTTAGTAAAGGTATTGGATTTTGGGTATTAATGGGTTCATTGTTGCGTTGCACTTAATTAGAGCACTTAACACCTCTCATTAGATGCTCAACTGTGGGCTCTACTTTAAAAATATTATTATGGCATCTCTTTGAACATCTAAATGTTTTAATGGTGACACCTCGTTGAGATGCTTTAGGCGAATCCTACTCACATATAGAAACAATTTTTATTATTTTTTAATTTTAAATTTTTATATTATATATAGGAGTGTTAAATATGGAGTAATAAATTATTAATTAAACTGATTTTTTTGGAAAAAATAATATAAATAATTAAAAATATTATTAATGACTTTTTTTTGCTAAATATTTTGATTAAAAAAATTAAAGACATGTTGGTATTACTAAAAACAAAATAGGGTGTCATATTTTTATAGAGTATTTATTTTTTATTCAATTTTTTGTGCAGATCAAACTCAATCAAATGAAACACAACTTCAAACAAATTTTTCATGGTATCACTACAAGTTAAAAAATGAAAAGAAAAAAAAACATGCGAAAATGGTTTGTTTAAAAAAAAAATTGTAAAGATTCTTTTCCAAAAAAAAGAGACAAAATAATGGTATAGGATTGTAGCATCACTACACGTTAAAGAAATAAAGAGAAAAAAATATTGAAAAGAGAATGTATTATTAAAAAAGACTTATTTTACAAAAAAAAGAAAAAGATAGAATGCACACATAATTTTGAATGCTGGCACCCGGTGCTCTCTTGAGCATCTCTCATTTTTTTTTCTTTGAACATCTACTCTAAGCATCTATCTCCAATAGTAGCATCTATAAACATCTTCTTCTCTCTCCTTTGAACATCTCCTTTGGGCATCCCATTAGAGATGACCTTAGACCAACCTTGTAGATATTATAAACAGTAAAATCATATTTAATCAAATCAGCTTTAATTATCATGAAATTTTATAAAATTAGTAATTATTTTTATGCCGATATTTTACCAACAATTTTGCTTAAAAGAATCTTGTTTTGGTTTACATTTTACAATGGCGCATGTTTTTTAATTATAGTTATTTAAACACATGAGCAAAATTTAAAGCGATAAAAAATGCACAGAGTATAAGTTAGCATATAGTTTGACTATGTATCATAACAAATAAAAAGTGGGAAGAAGTACTCCGTAATTTCACTCTGAGTTTTTTATTATATACTTTCTATCTTTAGATGTTTAGAAAAAAAATAAATTTTACTTTACTTCATGTTAGTTGAGCATTTAAATTTCGTTTCTGATCCAAATAAGTTTTAAATAAATATACTTTTTTCTCACTGTTAAAAATCTTTTCTAAATGTTATGAGCGTCAAACGAGTAATATTTGTCTAGCGGAAAAAGATTACTTCTTTCCTCTTAGAGTATCTATGCATATTTTACTTTTTGCATTGAATCAAGATTAATCTTTGACCTCTAATTAAATACCCATCTATCTCATTTTAAATTGCATGTTTGT